GATAGTATTACCTTGATAAAAATAGTTTCTAATTAATTAGGTAAAATCAAAAATAATTTTTATTGAATTTTTCGAATGTAATGAAAACTTGAACAAAAATTTTTTGTATATGTAGATTTAATTCTTTTTGTGTATTTTTGCTTCAAAAACCGCAAACATAACCTAAAAAATTTTTTTCCATAAGGTCCAAACAAACATAACCAAAAAAAAAAAAAAAAGAATTTGGCGCGAATTTTACAATTAACTAATCACATTTTTCTTAATAATTTCTGATTATAGTTTCTTTTTAAAATTCGCGCCAAAATTTTTCTGTCGATTGTCTTTGTGTTGGCTATTTTTTGAAATTTCGGACAAATTCGTCGTTTTAAAAATTCTATCAAAGAAAAATTCGGACAAATGAAGATTCGATGAATTAAAAAATACTGTCATTTAAAAATTCGAATTAAAATTTTGTTGAATGAAAATTATTCTAAATTAATATTCGGTTAAATTATAATTGTTTTAAATAAAAAGTTCGGGAATGAGAAATTCTGTAAAATTCTGTTAAACAAAAATTCGGTACGAAATCTCTTAATTAAAAAATTCGTTTAAAAGGCGAAATTCTGGCAGAATGTTAATTTGAAAAAAGATAATTCGAGTAAAAAAATAATATATAAAATAATAGTATATTTGAAATCCTTGAATGGAATGTATTTATATATATTTATATATGTATGTATGTGTGTGTGTATGAAGAAGGAACGTGGCTGGAAGAGGCCAAAAGGACACGTAGACAATGCCAATAAGAAGGAGGGCGGGGAAATTGGATATCGTAGGACGATCACGATCAAAGGGAGTCTCGTACCACATTGATTTACGAGTACCAAACATGGCGTACGTGCAACAGGTTGAAAACACGTGCTTGTGCCAAGAAAAAGATAATAAAATATATGCGAGCAAAAAAAAAAAAACATCTGACAGAATGGATCAAAATAATGCGAAAAGTACTCTATATTTTTTTCGATTCATGTCAAAAATTTTGTTCGAACCATTTTTTTTATATTAACCAAATTTTTAAACCAAATATACCAATTTTTTTTTGTTTTAACTTCAAAAATTTCCCAACTCCAGGTGCCATTAACTTACCAAAATTATATTATTTTGAAATCAAATTTTTTTTCTGTAAGATATAAAGTTGAAGTTTATAGAAAAATAAAAGAGAAAAATCGAGAGATTATGTCTAAAGAAGAAATAAGGCAAAATATAGGGAAAAGAACAAGAGAAAAATAAAGAAAATAACAAAAAAAAAAAACGAAAAGCAAGAAAGAAAAAAGGAAAAGAGAAAAAGAAAGTAAAGAACGTGCGAGGCGTATAAAATAAACTAAAGGGACTAAAGAAGGAAGAGAGATTCTCGATTCCGTGCACCTGATCGAGAAGAGTAGCGAGGGAGCGGGTGCGTGTTCGCGTATGTGGGCGTACATGCACTGCACTTAATGACGTAAATGATCGTATATACGTTTCACGCGTATGAATATATATATACATATATGTATATATACGTTTGCCATTATTGAGCCAATACTACTGGTCAGTTGTATAAATAATTTCTGACTGCAAGTTGTAAACAAGTATTAAACCATCTGTGGTTGCCAGTTTTGAGCCAGTATTATTTATACCTGATTTTAAAACAATTCTGGCAGCCAGTTCTGGATCAGTGTTGAATCATCCGTGGTTGCCAATTTTAAGCCAGTATTATTTACCTGATTTTAAAGCAATTTTAGCAGCCAGTTCTGAATCAGTATTACACCATCCGTGGTTTCCAGTTTTGAGCCAGTATTATTCACTTGATATTCAACCAGCCCTGGTAGCCATTTGTTGCCAGTTTTGAAGCAAGTATTATTTTCCTGATTTTAAAACAGACCTGGCAGCCAGTTCTGAACCAGTATTAAACAATTTGTGATTGCCAGTTCTTAATTGGTATTACTGGCGAATATTAAGCCCGTCCTCGTTGCTAGTTTGTGAATTAGTCCTACACTGGATAACATAAAAATGACTGCCAATTCTGAGCCAGTACTTTATCAATATTAAGATAACCCCAGCCAATATTAAACCAGTTGGTTTAATAATAATGATATACTATACTTATTTAGAATTGACAGCAAGGAATAGTATTTTTTTGGTCATTAGTACTAGTTCAAAACTGGCAGCCAGGACAGGTTTAATATTAGCCGGGACAGGTAATTAGCAGCCAGAATTAGTTAGTAGCAGATTAAGATTAAGAAGTAGTAGTAGATTAAAAATTGGAAACCAGAATTGCAAGTCTCGGCTAAAAACAGGCAGCCAGTTCTGAACCAGTGTTCATCTAATATTAAACCAGCCTTTGTTGTCAGTTCTTAACTGGTACTTTTGGCGTATATTAAGCCAGTCCTGATTGCCAGTTTGTTAATCAGTACTACTGGCCAATATAAAACTGTCCTTGATTGCCAATTTTGAGCCAGCACTATACCGGTTAATATTAAGCCATTGGCATAGCCACAACTGGCTTAATAATCGTCGTTATAGTGCTGGTTCAAAATTAACAGCCAGGACTAGTTTTATATTAACCAGCATTAAATGAGTAAGAACTGTTAACTAGAACTGCGTTAATATACTACTGGCTAAAAACTGGCAATCAGGATTAGTTTAATTTACACCAGTATAGTATCGATTAAAAGTGGACAGACATATTTGGTTTAACATTGGCATTAATAACACACACAATTGACAATTAGGAATAATTTTACACTGCCCAATAGTACTGGTTTAAAACTGGCAGCCAGGACTGGCTTTATATTAGAAGCCGCAATGATTGGCATCGGTGTCTACGTTTCAAGGCTTAGCCAATGTTTTGCCAAGACTCATATTGGCAAACGTAAGTACTGGGTTATTGGCTGAATATTGGACCAATATTGGCACCCAATATTGGTTTACTTTTGGCAATTTTTTACTGCAAAACTAGCCATATTATAGTAGGGCTACTGGCTCAGCCTTGACAATGTTTTACTACGTACATTCAAAATTAAAATCCTTATTATGATTAACCTAACATAGTAACTAGTAAACCCTTGTCAACCCCAAGCCAATATTGCCCCAGTATATTTAAATATTAAGACAATATTGGCTCAGCCTTATTGGTGAGAGTTTACTGGATACCAGAGTAGGTTAAATTATAATAATTTTAATGTTGATTGTATACAAACAGTATTTACCTATACTGGGTCAATACTGGTCCAGTGTTGACAAGTGTTTTTTAGGTACTAGGTTATGTTAATCATAATAATTATGGTGTAGAATGTACACAAAGAGTATTTAACTATACTGTGGGGCAATACTTGCTCAGTATTGTCAAGAGTTTACTGGGTATCAGAGTAGGTTAATACGAACAGTATTTAATTATCCTGGGACAATTATGGCTTAGTATTGGCAAGAGTTTACTGGTTACTAAAGTAGTTTAATTATAATAATTAAAATGTTGAAACTATAGGAACAGTATTTAACTATACTGGGGCAAATACTAGCCCAGTATTGGCAAGCGTTTTCTAAGTTTTGGGTTATGTATACGAACAGTACTTAACTAAACTGGGACAATACTGGCTCAGTATTGGCAAGAGTTTACTAGGTACTACAGTAGTTTAATTATAATAATTAAAATATTGAAACTATATACGAACAGTATTTAACTAAACTGGGGCAATACTGGCTCAGTCTTGGCAGAAGTTTACTACATACTAGGTTACCTTAATCATAATAATTATCATGTTAAATGTATATGGACAGTATTTAACTATACTGGCGCAATATCGGCTCAGTATTGGCAACAGTTTACTACAGTTAGAAACTGATTTTCCGGTAATTAATTTATTTCTTATTCCTCTAAACTATTTTTATAAAAACAATTGAATGTATACAAAAAAAAAAAAAAAAATACTCAATCAATGTCATCAGTTCAAAGTTTAAATAAGGGGGACGAATTGTTGCCAAATAGGAAAAAAAAAAAAAAAAGAAACTCAAACAAGAAGAAAAATGCCTCAGGGCATATGGAAGCAGACGAAAGATATCTCAAACACGGCGGTGAATTTCACGTACATAGCTCGTGAAGTTACATACATGCACTGTGAGGTGCAACGCGCCATTAAGGGGGGAAAATAAGAAAAAGAGTCCGAGAAATGGTATATAGAAGACAGCGAAACAGCGGATAAAGAAGAAACATGAGGAAGAGAAAAACTTGAAGATCCGAATATATATATATATATATATATATATATATATATATATATATATATATATATAAGAGAAGAAGAAGAAGGCAAAGTGTATATATATGTACGCGGGATTGGATGGTGAAGTTTCCGAGGGATGAGAGAAACTGGAGGGAGTGTGGAGGGAAAAGAGAGAGAGAGAGAAAAAAAAGAGGAAGGAGGACAGAAGATTGAAGGAAGAGAGGTGGGGGCACCCATTCATGGCCTAAGAGTCCAGTTCACAGAGCGGCATACCTTCGTGTACCCCGTGGGCGCCATTCTACAGCCGGCAGGCACTCACAACTACGAGTCATCCAAGTCATTCGAGTATTGGAGTCATTTGAGTCGGGCGAGCCGAGTGAGCAAGACGAACTATCGACACTACATATATACACTCAGTGAAAGACACGGCGAGAACGTGGACACTGGAGAATATTGTGACACTCTTCGCGACCTCTAAGAGAAGTGTCTTCAAAGTTTTCCTCTACCGTTTTTACCATTCTCAATTTTCGTGAAAATTTCAAAAATTTCGCCAGTGAAATTGTGACGTGATTTTTTTTTTTTTTTTTTTTTAAGTGACTAGGTTGTAATTTTTCGATTTGGGGAGTTCTTTTTTTCGATTTAGTCTTGAAGAGAGAGAGAGAGAGAGAGAGAGAGAGAGACTGAAGGTCGTTGAGCAAAAAAAAAAAAAAGGGGGTCAAGGTTGAAGGATCAAGGACATTTGAGACGAGTTTTATAAGCACAAGTATTTACCATGAAAGGATTCGTGGTTTTCTTTATGTTTGCTGTCTTGAGCATTGCAAGGAATGAGTGCAAAACATTGGGCCTACAAAAGAGTGATTATGAATCCTCGCAAATGAATAGGTATTACACGTTGAATGAGAAAAAAAATTTAGCGGAAGTGGAGAAATTTCAAGATGTTGACATTGAGATCGATTTACTTGATAGTAAACATCCAAAACGACAGGAGCACGAGACAAATGAGGAACAGGAGCCATTAGTCATTTATCAGATTGGGGTAAGTTGATTGATTTCTTTGAATTAAGCAAATTTATTTCGCATATATTCATTGGTGCGTTAATTTCATGAAATTTAGAATAGTTTAATTTAATTATTATTAGTGTTTTTGAACCTTTCACTTGGCGGCAAAAAAAAAAAAATTGTGATTTAATCTTTTAAAAGTTTACGTTCTCGAAGGATCAAGGCAAAATGATTCATGTGCGATAGTGCATGCATAAGTTAGCCACTTATATTTATATATATTAGTAAAGTGGCCTTGGCCAAATAAACTCACTATCTGTATACAGTGTTTCAAGTCTTATTGGTTTTCTATATATCTTACTCTTGAACTCGGAAATAATTAACATCGTTGTCAAAAATCTTTCGTATTTTATATGTTAAATAATTCTTTTTGTAGTTTTTAAAAAGAGCCTAAATCTTATATACTTTGCAGATTGAGCCTGTAAAAATTATTTTCTAAAATTAGTAAATATTCCTTTTACTTTCTCATCATCGTTATTATAATACAAAATCCATAATGTATATATATATATATATATATATATATATATATATATATACGCATAGTCAGCGCGCGCTATCCTCATTGCGCGCACATACATACCGAATGCATGTGGTAATAAGAAAGCATTTAATGTTTTCGCAATTATAGAGTTACGATCCGTAGATTAGTTGTTAATCACTGAATAATAATGCAGGCATGTCACACTTGATGTAATTCCATTGAGAGGTATGGGATAAATAATAATCGGGGCCGTGTGCAGATGACATGAAATTTGATTTTTTAACTAGTAATTCTCCTTTTTTACAAATAATATAAATAATAATAAATATCCAAACCCTCTTGTGCTTTTATAGTTTACTAATTCTTTCTCTTCTTCATCCAAAAAAAAAAAAAAAAAACCAATGATTGGTTTGATTATTAAAATAGCAATGATGGCATGTTACCAACGTTGTTATTTTGTTCAGTATAACGGATACATATATATATACGATACAATGGATAGGATTTTTTTTTGGAAAAAGATCTAGAGGAAAGTTGAAGAAGAAGAAGAAGAAGAAGACGGTAGATAGCCGGTTAAACTTATGCACTTACGGACTATATAGCGCGCAAGAGAGTAAAAACATAGCTTGAGGGCAAAAGTGGCGCCCACTTGACGTTCGAATAACCTGTTGCTTATATATATATATATATATATATATATATATATATATACACAATATGTTGTATAAGTGCGTCAAGTTGGAGTCTCCATTCATAACGAGTCGTCGATCGAGTTCCAGATTCTTTTCTTTTTTATTTATTTATTTATTTATTTTTACACGTCTTTCGAAGAATGTCAAAGGCTTATACGCATCGCACCGGAAAACTGTTTTTACGCCAATTTGACATCCTGCCGTTCGAGGCGGCAATTCACATAGCTATATATAGGTATATATAATCGTCGCACGCGTACAGCGCAAATATAATAAAAATTTATTTATAATGCAATTGAGACGATAAGAGTTTAATTGCTGATGAGAGAATTCAATATATCAGAACTTATTCTTTTGGCATCTGACTTCTTTTTTGTTTTATTGCTGTCTAACTAGTTTTTTTTTTCAAAATGCTATGGTATGACTGAAGTATATAATATCATTGGTATCTTAAGTTTTGGTACTTTAAGTATTATAGAACTTTGAGTATTGGTACTTTAAGTATTGATACCTTAAGTATTTGTGCCTTAAGTATTGCTATTTTGAGTATTGCTATATACTTATTAAGTATTATAGAACTTTGAGTATTGGTACTTTAAGTATTATACTACTTTGAGTATTGGTACCTTAAGTATTTGTGCCTTTAGTATTAGTATTCTAAGTATTGGTACCCTAAGTATTGGTACCCTAAGTACTAATACCCTAACTATTGGTACTTAAAGAATATTGGTACACTATAAGTATCAGTACACCAAATGTAAGTGCCCTAAATATTGATACCTTCATTAGTAATGGGACCCTAAGTATTGGTACTTGAATTATCGGTACCTTAAGTATTGGTACTTTAAGTATTACTACTTTAAATATTGGTACTCAAAGAATTAATAATGCCCAAAGTATCAGTACGCTAAATATCAGTAGCTTCATTAGTTTGGTACCCTAAGCATTATAGTACCTAAAGTATAAGAATCCTTAAGAATTAACTAGTAATAATACTTACAAGTAGTAATTACTACTTGTAAAATACTTAGTATATAGGGTTCTTATGCTTTAGGTACTAATACTTAGGATGTGCAAAAATACTTAGTTTACCAATTGTTAGAGTACTGATTAATAGCGTATCAATACTAAAATGAGGGTATTTATAATTAAAGTATACTGATATTTAGGGCATACTTATATATACTTAGGGTAGTAATACTTTAGGTTTTTACATTTTAAGGTACTTATTCTTAGTACTTTGGATACTAATACTTAAGGTATTAATACTTAGCACTTTGGGTATACTTATTCTTAGTACTTTGGGTTCTAGTACTTAGGGTATTAATACTTTATACCTATGGTAATAATATTTAGTAATTTAGGTACTATAATACTTAATACTTTGGATATGAATACTTAGTACTTTGGATACTAGTACTTATAGGGTATTAATTCTTAGTACTTAAGTGTATTAATATACTTTGTACTTTGTGTAATAGTACTTATGGTATTAATACTTAGTACTTTGTGTACTAGTACTTAGGGTATTAATACTTAGTACTTTGTGTACTAGTACTTAAGGTACTACTTAAGTACTTAGTACTTTTGGTACTAGTACTTATGGTATTAATACTTAGTACTTTGTGTACTAGTACTTAGGATATTAATACTTAGTACTTTATGTACTTGTACTTAGGGTATTAATACTTAGTACTTTTGGTACTAGTACTTATGGTATTAATACTTAGTACTTTGTGTACTAGTACTTAGGATATTAATACTTAGTACTTTATGTACTTGTACTTAGGGTATTAATACTTAGGATACTAATATTTATCCTACTCAAAATGTGATACCCATATATTGAAAGACTTAATCCATTAGCTTCAGTTATGGATATATACATACATATATAGGATACAAGCTGACAAGAAGCAGATATTGAAGAATTTTTCCTGACAGCTTTATAATAGAAGATCACGATATAGCCGCGTCTATAAGATTTAGGTTTCAGTATATATATCCTATATACATGTGTGTGTAGCTTCTGGTGTGCGCGCCACCGGTTCATATGTATATAGTAGACAATATTGGGGGCGTGAGAAGATTGAGGGAAAAAGGAAGGTGTCGAGGGGGTGGTTTTAAGTTGAGAACGTTAGATGTAAGCAATCTCCTCAACTCTCGGTCATCTGCAGGGTGCATACGCCGAGTGCCAGGTGTCATGTTCGTTGCGGTCGTGGGAGAAGCGAGAGACGCGTGAGAACTTCCGGATGGTTTCGTTGGGTCCTTCCGGTACCCTATTATTCCATTTTAGGTTTTTACTGCCACCGTTTCCATTCCATCACACAGAAGCAGCATCCTCCCTTTTACTCATCCAAGTAACAAGTTTCTTAATAATTTCCCCCCTACACCCTCCTCAATCCCTCACTCTCGTTCTCTATTTTCATTATATGCACCTTATCTTCTTCCTCTTATTTCTTTCCTTCTTGTTCTTCTTTTTCTTATTATTTTTCTAATTCTTCTCCTATTTCTTATTTCTTTTTTTATTCTTCTTCTTATTATTTTTCTTCTTTTTCTCTTTTTCTATTTCCTCAAGGCACACTTTTATTTAATACTTTCGTCTATTTTTATTTTTGATTGTATAATTTATATCTATTTTATATTAACTACTATAATGGAAGTTATAATTTAAATTATTTATACCTTAAGAGATGATATACCTTAAGTATTGGTACTCGAACTATCAATATACGCTAAATATAAATTCTCTAAATAATATTAGTGTCTTTATTAGTATTGGGACCCAAGAGGTATTGGTGCTTTAATTTTCGGTACCCTCAGTATTGATACTTAGTATTGGTACCGTAAGTATTTGTGCCTTAAGTATTGGTACCTTGAGTATTGGTACTTTGCGTAATGGTACTTTAAGTATTATAGTACTTTGAGTATTGGTATCTAAAGTATTTCTACTTTAAGTATTGGTACTTTAAGTATTATAGTACTTTGAGTATTGGTATCTAAAGTATTTGTACTTTAAGTATTATAGTACTTTGAGTATTGGTATATCTAAAGTATTTGTACTTTAAGTATTGGTACTTTAAATATTATAGTACTTTGAGTATTGGTAAAGTATTTGTACTTTGAGTATTGGTACTTAGCGTAATGGTACTTTGAGTATTTGTATTTGAAGTATATTTTTGCCTTAAGTATTGGTACTATGAGTTTTGATACTTTGAGTATTGGTACTCGAAGAATTGGTACCCTAAGTATCAGTACATAAAATATAAGAGCCCTAAACATTAGTATACCCTTTATTAGTATTTGAACCTAAAATATTGATACTCCAACTATTGGTATACATGAAAAATTGGTACTCAATAATTAAGTCCAATTTATTAATAATTGTAATAATAATAGAAAATAATTCTTCTTAATTGCAAATGCACTTTTTGCTTATAGATGTTTTTCCTTCAGATTAGAATTGAATTTTTTTTTTTCTTCTTAACACACTCCTTTCAGAGTTGACTTTTCTCTCTCTTGCTCTCTATGCCTCCTTACCCCTCTCGTCAAATGTTCCTCTCCTATTCCTCTTGACGGGACGCACAATTCATTCTTGGCTCATTCATTCGTTCCTTCATTCATTCATACTTGATATATACATTCATACTTTCGTCCTCACGATGCCACATATGTCCGTCCGTTTGTTAGTTCCTTCGTTTCTCCATTCACTCAAGTCATTCATTCACACTCGCATTCGTAAAAGTCATTCACGTAGTGAATCTAGGTCAGCGCGTGGCGCGTAACACGGAGGAAATAAAT